GGGCAGCTCCTACCCCATGGCACTGCAGGAGTTTGTCCTTTCTGAGCTTGAACAGTACAAAACAGGAAAATCTCTTTGAAGCTGGCAGAATTCCTGAGGTATCTCAGCGATGCGATATAAATGGTGTTGAGTTTGCTGAAGATACGTAGTGGGTTTTGCTATTGCATCTAACAGTTTTGTCTGTAAAATTGGTACTTTGTCACAGGTCTAAGATGAATTATTTCAGCTTCACTCTGAATACTCTAGGCAACTATTTTMCYCCATTTTCAAGTGCCTCCAACTTGGCCTCTGCCCTGTTTGCTGTTCTAGCTGTTATTTTTTGAGGTAATTGCCATGTTCTGTTAGAAAGAACCCAGGCTAAACTGAATTTATCTTTTAGTTGAATTGTGAAGTACTGYAGGATTTTTGTAATGTGGATTGGTAGCAAAACCTTAATTGAATTTCCTTGCTCGTGGTCTTGTGTCTGAAGATCTTGACTGCACAGCTCTGTTTCTCTGAGGTGGATTGGCAGGTAGKGCTTTAAACTTCCATAASGTTCAGTAAATAAATTTTAATGCARGTTTTATGGAATATTTATTAAATCCGTCAGCATGTTTCACWGCATCAAAGGCACCATTTTWTTTATTTATTTATTTAGATGAATAGGCATGTTTAAATCCCACATGCCTGTGAAGTGCATGACTGCCTGTCAAAGAACAGAATTGTGTTTTAAAACAAAAATTGATCTGTGAAGTTTTCCTTGGCTGTCAGTGTGTATTTGATGGGCTTTTGAGGGTGAGCAGAAGGGGACAGCCCATGGCCACTTCCTGGGCATTCACATCTTTGGCAGTACCCAAAAGCTGAGAGATGCACCTGTGTGAAACACAACAATTGTARTTTTCTACCATAAAAAGTCAGAGGCAAGTGAGTTCCTTTGTAAGATTTTTATTCTGGCTCTTGCACTTGCAAATTGACTCATTACCTGCAGTGCCTTGCCTGGGGAAGGGAAGCCCTGCTGCACTTGTCATGTCAGCAGGTTCAAGAGTCAGCAAAGTTGGACTGCCTCAGAAATAAAGGTAATTTATGCATTACACCAATCCCTGAAGGTGATRGAGGCTGGGCTGATTACAGCCTTGTAAAGGAGACAAAGGCTCTGTATTAACTCTCTATGGCTTCATTTTATAATGCCCTATGAAAATTGTCTTTTCTCCAGAGCTGCTGAACTTTCCAAGGTTGCTTAACCTGTCAGCACTGACCAAAAAATTCAAACTTCTTTGCTTTTAGGAATTAGATTAATGGTATAAAAGTGCGATCATGCCTGTCCATCCAATTCTTTAACATGTTTTGTTTKGACCATTCATTTCAGAACACTTTTTAAAAATTATTTTTCTGCCTGTGGGATGCAGAAGGATTCAGGCTGAACTGAATCCTTATCCTCTGGAATGTTCTTGTTTTTTTCCAAGTAATGGTTATTCATATTATCTGTAAAGTAAACCAGAAATKAACATTAAAATTAAATGAGTTTGCTTTCTGATAATGTTTGTAAATGCGTTCTTTGCGTAAGATTTGATAAAGTCTGAGTAAAAATGTTGCCTTTTTAATAATAAAGCTCAACCACAGGTGGAGAAGGTCTTTACCAAATACTGATTAGGTTGGTTTTCAAGGAATATTTGATTTTTCTGACCTTTGATGTCATTCTAATTTAATGTTACTTGAATTAAAATGTCTTTTTTTTATAGTACCTAAAATAGACTTTATTAGTTTTCCTGAAAGCTATGTGCAGCTTTGCTTTGGCCCATTTAAATATGGAAAACAGCAGGATTTGAGATTTTTCTTCTAATCCTCAACTAATAGAGTTTAATGCTTTGTTTGGCCTACCTTGCACAGCCTAAGCAAAAGTTTTAAACAAGATTAAAAGTATGACCTTATTAACCCATGACATCTAAAGATACAGAACAGGCCTGGAGAGACATCAGTCATTCCTTAGCCAGGAGAGCATTGGTGCCATTCCCAAACTACTCAGGATGTTCCAGAGGAAAACAATCTGACAGCCCAGCTTTTTTTCATTTCTAGTTTTGTGCCAGCACCTGGAAATAAGAAATTAAAAAGGAAAGAATCTGTTTCTAAGTTGAATATTCAGTCTTTGTGGYTGTGGAAAATAGAAGTTTGAGTACTTTGGGAAATTTGAGGTGCAACCTGGCTGGGATTTCTTTTAAAAAAAAAAAAAATTTGCAGAGGAAAGGGATGTTGCTTTTGTGTACTGCACCTCATTACCTGAGTAAAATGAATGTCACCTGTTTTGGTTTTGTTTTTTTGTGGGAAGTTAGAGTTGTTGGTAAGCTGCCTTTGGATGGGTGATTGATGAACACTCTGAGTTCCAGAAGAATAAAGTGTCTCATTGTCATGGAAAGTTAATGCCTAGTAAACATGACAGAACACAAAACGCTGTGTTACATCCATTGCTGTGAAATAAGATTCCTTGTTTACTGGGCARGCTATAGGGCCATAGCAACAACACCAGAAATAGGAACTCTGAGTATCCTTGTTGTAAAGATGATGATGGTTATCAAGCGGWTTGTTAATTGCTGGAGGTTAATATTGCGCTGTATTCATTATCACTGAGTAGTGAGAGGATCAGCCAAGAGGTGTAAATGTGGAAGTTTGACTGAAATCTTTAATTAAAATAATGAGGTTTATTGTATGGCATGGAGGAGTCATGTCAATGTGYACCTCATTGATACCTTGAGACAATTAATTAGCAAGCATTCCAGTGAAGAGAGAATAACAAGAGTTTGCTTAAAAACCAAAACAATGCAAGCTTTCTAAACTTCTCTTTTTCTAAGGGTCTTCCAAATCAAAGTAAAATGAGTGGTAATTCCTAAAAAATACTGGTATCTTTCTTGGCGTTCAGCATATCAGTTGCCCTTTTGATCTACACAAGGCAGAATCTGGATTCACATTCATTAAGTTCAAGATCCAGCTGAAACTTGGAGGCAGAATAAAGCCAGACAAATTGCTTACACTGTCACTGATAAACACTTCCTGCTTTCATACCATTATTTACGTATTTTTAATAATAAACCACGATTTTTAAAAAGTGAAAGCTGGYGGTGCTTTCGCAACCACATGTGGACTACTGAAAAATAAAGTATTTAATAGTGCACCTACCCTAAGCCTTGGTTTTGGAATGRAGAGTTTGTCAGGACCTGGGGCAATGGAAAGCTTTGCAGTTAGGAAGGAAGAGGGTGAAAAGCCCTCTGTTTTTCCTCTCTTATCCTGTCTAATTTATTTTCCTTAATTTGGTGCTTTTGGCCTTTCTTGGCTCACTGCCTTGTTCTCATCAGTCGTGCCAAATCTCTAAAGGAAAAATCTGGTTAGCTTTAGGAATAAGGTGGTCTGTAGGTAGGTAGAGAAGTCTGGGGAAACTAAGAATTTCCATTTGATTATTGCTCACTCAATTCTCTCTCTGCATCAAGCTTCACTGACCTTCCTGTGCCTGCCCCAAACTTCTGAGAACGTGTGGTCAGTGAGGAGCTGCTGTTTTGGGATAATCACCTTTGTGTTTGGTGTTTTCCTTGATCCTGTGTTTTCCAAAGGTTGCATTAATTTTTCATTTGATAGCCAAAATTCCCACCACTCTGTCTCTGCCTTGTTACTGAAGTAGTAGTTTTTTATTTTTCCATGCTGTTCTTCTGCATTCTTGATTGGTGAATATGCTTTCAGTTTCATTTTGCTTTTTGACTGTGAGTAATTATAGAAAGGAAAAAGTGATAAAAAGCATTTGCAGTATGCTTACTGAATTGACTCCATAAAATGAGATTTTCAAGCTGGAGTCTGTAAGCTGAAAGTGTGAGTTGCTATCTCTGAAAGGATAAGAAAGGGAAATGCTGTTGGTACTTCATAGTCTCTGGGACATTGTGCTGGAAAATGTTAGTTGTCAAAATGAAAAAAAATTTATGTTGATACAAATATTCCATAATCAAAGAGTCCTGTAAAAGCAGTTTAATGAAGATTAAAAGGTCACTTGGACAGTTTGGCTGGGCTTTTTTAGTAATCACATGGCTAACTTGGTTTACCTCAAAGTAGTGATTTTTTGCTGTGTACAGCAAGAAATTAATAATATCAAAAATCTTATCACAGCGCTTTGCAGTTAAGTTACAGTTTACAGATTCAGGGTTGGTAGTRTTTTTAGGGTTCTGATTCCTGGTTATACCAAATGTTTGATCATGCACATTTCATTTGATTGCACTATTAGCAYTGAAATTAACTGTTGTCAGATTTGACACAGAATGCAGTACAGAGGAGCAGAGGCAATGGTTTGTTGGGCTCATTAATGTGCCTGCAGTTAATCCCAAATGAAAATGCCTTTTCCATGTGATTTTCTAGCCTACTCTTCTGCTTCTAGTCAAGAGGTAGTTTTATATAGTTGGATTAACTCTTTACTGTTTATGTTTCACATCCAGACTGAATGTCTCATGTCAGGTTGAGTTCTCTGCTCTGGCTTGTACTGCTAATGCATTATTTTTGTGCTTTTTTTTTTTTTTTTTTTTTTTTTTTTTTTTTTTTTTTTTTTTTTTTTTTGTGCTTTGAGGTTCTTCAGTCTCCTCTCATTTATTTCTACTTTTAGTAACTCACACTTTTTTCCTTTCTGTTTGTTTCCAGTGTCTACTTTCCTAAAGAACTTTCACGTATGTCTAGTATTTTTCATTCAAATGAATCAAAATGTTTGATTCTGCAGAATGACTTAGTCCCAGTCTAAGACCATAGTTARTTTTTATTAAAGCATAATTAGACACTGATTTTTGGATGCAAGTAGATGCTACTGCTTAAAATAGATGCAAATAGATGTTGGTGCTTAAATAGAAAAGTTTTGATATATTTGAGTATCTACAGAAGTCTTCAGTGAAAGAACTTTAGACAATACAGCTTTGATAGAATATTTTTCAAGTTYATGTTCTGTTTAAAAAAGGTATTCTGCTTTTGGAGCTTATAGATTTAATGCTGTATCTTTTTTATTACAGGGAGAAGAAAATGAAAATTCAGGATATTAAAAACAATATTAAAGAAGCTATAGAGGTAAACTTAGAAACTGTTGTTTTTCTCTATTCCAAGTGGCTSTTCAGACTCTGCAATATTTTACTTGTGTTTCTTTGCAGACAATAGTGACAGCAATGGGCAATTTGGCACCTCCAGTGGAACTAGCCAATCCAGAGAACCAGTTTCGAATCGACTACATCTTAAATTTAGCAAACCAGATAGACTTCGATTTCCCTCCGGTGAGTAATTGGCAGTGGCTGCAGCCGTGCCTTTTTGCAAATGATTATATTTCACTACCCTGTAGTAAATATTTCCCCAGAACAGTGAGCTGCTCTCTGGGAATTACTGCAGTAGGTGCCTTTGGGGAGTGCTAATTGAATTTATAGAGACTCAGCCAGAATATTCCAGCTGATCCTTCAGGAACATGGAGACCCTTGTCTGCTTTTTGTGCTCTGGTGAAATAATCAMCTGCAGAGTCAAGATGGACAGTGCTGGGCATAAAGTTTGGATATTGTGGGAATTGCCCTGCCCAGAAGGAGTGGAGATACATCCAGCACTCTGTTGATGATTAGCTGGTGTTTAATGATACTGATTTCTCTCTTCTGGAAGAATAGTGGCATTTTSCTGCTGATTCAGACTCTGTGTCAGCCAGGCTTTCTGCAGAGGCTCCACACACACGTCCTTGCCCCAGCCCTCCCAGTCCTGGTTAATCATTCAAGGTGCCAGCAGTCCCASAGTCTGTGCAGAAAGGATAATTATTTGGTTGATGATACAACTTTGTGCCCACTCACRGTGATTAATTTCTCCTGTATCTCAACCAGACTTGCAGCAGAAGCCCATGAAAATACAGTTTGCAAACACTGAACACTTGAATACTGAGAAGATATTTTTGTTAATTGTCATGAAGTACCTTATACTGTCAGTAATGAGGGAGTGGTTCAGAGCCTGTATTTCTCTCTCAGTGCACTGTTCAAGGGGGTGTCAAAAATCATGATCCATTTACACCGAAATTTTGTGTCCRGCAGTAGTCAGTCCCAGATGCTTGAAATGAAAGTCCAAGTGCAGATTGTAATAAGATTTGAGATAGTTTGCACCACAGCAAGGTTTTTGTAATTGTTGATTTATAAACATTATTGAATAAGCTGGTCTGTGGGACCAGCGACAATTGCCTTTTCCAAATGTTTCTGCTTCTAGGAATTTCTCTGCTTTGGTCAGTTTTTATCAAAAGAAAAATAACCAGCCAAACAAACAAACCCACATACTTTGTGTACAAGGCAAAAGTCAGGTGATGTTAGCAATTAATTGGGAATAGTGCRCTGTAATCTTCAAATAATTATAAATGTTCAGCAGGCACAGACAGGTTGATAGAGAGGAGATGTATGATTCTCTCTAGCACATAAAATGTAGTAATGGTCATTTTGTGTTAAAGCATGTTAAATTTGAGATTTTGAACTTAACACCTCTTTAATTTAGACAGTGTTACTCACAAAAATACTTGATCCCTTCATGGATGATCTCTCCTGTTGGGGGCACAGAAAAGTTCACGCTTTGAAGATAGTTTAAGGAGAATATTTGAGAGGGAAGACAGTGGTTCCTTGCTCCACCCTCTATGCTCCTGAGCTGGCCATGTGCCCACAGCTCTCCTACTGCCATTGTTTGTGCTAGTTCAGGTTGTGATCTGTAACAATGCTGCAGCAAGTTCCTGTGACCTACCTCATACTGAAATACTGGATTTTCCTTGTCTCTTCTATCTCAGAGGTCTTTTTTTTCTTCCATTCAGTTGGAGTGCAGTGATTTATTTTAAATTTTCCCAGTTTTTTCACTGAAAGCAAGATGTAGTTGTGTGACTTACAAGGTCCATTAATAATCTGAGTTCAGTGAAGAGTCTTTGAGGTGTTGAATGACACACAACTTCAGGAATAACAGTGCTCCAATAAAACTAGTTTTTCTTCTCTGAGCAAAGGTATTGTCTTAAATTTTTAAGCCCTGAGTCTACAGAGGTTTAGGTGTGTGCATAACTTTGCCTGGTGGCTTACTTCATTGGCATGATTAACTATTTCATATGTAAATGTTTGTAGGGTTGAGGTTTTAAACTGGATATGCATTAGCCACAGGTGTTGAAGGACTATTGTTGGCTCTCTCTGCCCTTGGTTATATAAGTTAATATGTCTAATTTCTGAGTTTGTCTGAATGTAGGCTGTGGTCCTTTGGTACCTGGAAAATTGAACCTACATTTTAATTGCATGATTTAAATCAAGTTAAGATCTTGAGTGTCCCTAGATGCCAGCTTTCAGTGCATAGTGTCACAAATCACAATCCTTGGGTACTGCTACAGAAATAATTTTGACTTTGTTACAGATTAATTAAAAGTATCTTGAACAAAAAAAAATTGTGGAAGTGGGAAGGACAGCCTTATGCTACTTATTCTTAAATCTAAGGAAATCTTGATCATCTGCTTTTTCCTCCAGGAGAATTTCATAAACTGGCAGCTAAACTTTCTCCTGTATTGAGTACTGATTGGGACGGAATGAGGGGAATTTTTAGCAGTGTCAGCCCTGTGTAATGCTCTCTGGTGTGAGTTGTAGAGTTTTCTTTCTGTCTCTTGCATTTTTTTCGTGACAAATCACATTTCAGCTGTTTTGAGGACGTGCTTTTCTCAGTGTAGTGTTTGATGCTCTTCTCTGCCATAGAAGAACATGAAGGTAGGAAGAAGGAGCACTCATATCTCAAGGGGATATTCCATGAGGGCTGCAAGTGCTTAGGACTGTGCTCTCCTAAATACAGGGCTGTTTTGCTTCTCTTTAAATGCCCATTCTTCTTTTCCYAAACATGAATTTAGRTAGCTCTCCTGAAGAGAATACRCTGACAGACAGAGGTCAGCACAAARAYTGTAGAATTTCTTCTCCATCTACACAAAATCACCTTTTTCTGTGCATGAAGGAGTAGTTTAAATAAATTTTAAAGCAGAGGCCAAAATCTRTGTTTATAATTCCCTGTGAAACAGGTGGAGCTAGAATGCAGGTTTCCCAACAGCAAGATTCAGTGTAAGGTGAAAGGCAGAAGAAAGTCAAGAAAAAAGTAAGAGCTTTATGGTGTATTGCTAACATTGGGATCTGGCTCTTCATGTAAATTAGGAGCAACTTTTGTACTCTGATACTCTAATTCTTTTCTTAGTCTGGGTCTCCATCTGTTTGCTTTGCAGTTTYTGACTTACAAGAAATATGTGTCATTTGTGTAGACCATATTGTTTTGAATTAAAAAAAAACTAAAAAACAACAGCTTGAGTTAAAAATAATGTTGGTACAGTGTAATGCTAGGTTAAACATCCCCTTTAAAGCTGAAAATTTAATATGTTGGAGATCTATTAATTCAGCACAGTTGGTATTAAGAAATTAGATTCCTTGAATACAAGTAGTAGCATATGGAGAAAGGAAAAACATAGTACTAACTGAAGGGAATTCAGTCCACGTAATCATGCTGCTGTTCTAAAATACTGCARTCTTTATTAGATCAGATCTATAGCTGAGGCTTCCAAATGGCATTTCCATTGTTACTGTCCRTGATTCATTTAGCCTAACATAACTGCATGTGCATGTTTTTAATGTCAAAAATCAACCTCATACGTAGTTTCAGTAATTCAAACTAGCTGTATATCTGTCTCAAATGTCAGGTGATGTTGGGTTAGCTGGGTTATAAAAGTGATCTTTTTATTCCTGTTCTGCATRCCAGACAGTGGTTAGGATATTTTCTCCATCCCCCACACCAGCAGGGGCCTTCTTCTCATCCCTTTCTTTTTGCTCTTACTTTTAGAAGAGGGAAGGAAATGTTCCCGTTTTATCAACATTTCACACTCCATGATCAACCAAATTGGACCAAGCTACCAAATAAAACCTATTTGCTTTGGGTCGCAGTCCGTTTATAATTCTCTGGTTTTAATGAAATATTCAAAATAGCGAAGCAGGATTTATAGCTGCATATTTTTAATTGATCTGGACTCAACAGAGGAAGACATCTCTTGAAAATACCATCCTAAATTCAGAAAAATGGGATTCTGAAAGGAGTAGAATCAGARTATTAGCTATTGAAAGGCAAAATATCAGAGCCTAAGGCTCTAGATTGAGAATGTTAAGAAGAGATGCTGATGAAATTGTCTGCAGGTTTCTTGGTCCCAGTTTAAGTTTTATTACACTGCTCCATTGTAGTTATTTTGAATCTCCCACTACCACTGCTGCTGAATGGTTTTATTATGGTTTCTGAGTGGTGTCCTTGAGCTTTACCACACTCTGGCTTCAGCCTCAAAGGCAGCTCAGCATCCCCTGTGCCCACAGCCAACCCTTCCCTCCTCTCTGCTTCGGGATGTGCCACCCACACTGGGCCAAAAAAACCTCCACTGGCTCCCCAGTGTAAATCAGACCATTGAACCAACCCAGGTTAAAAATAACCCTGGTAACCCTTACCTCCTTCTCTCTTCTATTTTGGGGAGATTATTTTTACCAGGGATCAGTTTTGAGGGCTGATTTACAACCTGGCCCTGGGCGGTGTGGTCCAGAGGAGGGTGGTGCACAGTGTGATCCCTTAACCTGCAGCAGGGTCAGAGCTCCAGGGAATTTGGAGTCCTTAAAATGGCTTTGTCACGGAAATCTTCAAGAAGGTGACGAGATAAAATAGACTCAGTAAGAAAAGATGTGATCTGGGATCTCTTTGCTGCCGAAAGTGTTCCTTAATTAAGTAGGCAACAGAACAAAATTATCTGTCCCTGTAGATAACCACCCTGATGGGTGTAATGATAGATGTATTATTATTCCTGTCTAAATACATCATGGGAGAAGAAGAGAGCTGTTCTGGTTTGACAGCATCAGCAGCTTTGGAAAGTAATGACAAACATATTCACTGCAGTGGGGGACATATCCCCATGGGAAATCTCAAATGTCACTGATTTTAGGGTGTGGAAGTAGGCAAAACATTTTCTTTGCTGAGGATACTTGTAGGAAGCTGGGGAATGTGGGAGACAGAACCTCATTTCTTGGGTGTCTGGACAATATTTGTGCAATATTTGGATAGTTACCACAGARAGAAAGTTTGGGGCTCCAGTTTTTTCTTGTCGAGATTCTCTTCATGATTTTGAGCAAGACACCTCAGTGCCKGTTTGCTTTTTTATAGTGCACTGCATCTTGTTGTGTGTAAAACAGTGATAAATACATATCTTCAGGATGCATTTTGAGGTGCAAAATTAGTAGAAAATATGGATATGTAAAGGATTTTTGCCTCAAGAAYGTTAATGTTGTTCCAAGAAAGGAATGGGAAATCTTACAGACTTTATCAGTGATGTGGTGCTAGATCCTCTGAAATAATCCTTGCTTACTCTTTTTTTAATCTCTATTATGTTATCTACACAAAGCAGCTCCTTCTAAATGGGCTTCCAGATAATCCAAWTGAGTTTACCTGATCAGAGTTTAATAGGAACTTATGTAAAGCTGGTTTTCCTATCCTTTAATAGCAGAAATAAATTCTTGAATATAGATTAATTTAGAGTTCCTTTGAAACCTTCTTTTAGTATAGGGTCTGTGAGGCAGGCAGCCACTTGGTTTTATTTCTGTTTCTCATAACTGAAACATGTATACCTACATGATTTGCAGATGAATTTCTTGGAATCTCTGATTTTTGTCCACATGGATAAATGTCTGATAGGAGTATTTTATATATGACTAGCAATATCTAGMAAGTTTTGGCATGGCTGAAGTATTTATTGAAGTGATTTTTTTTTATTTCGGCCCTTTGAATTATGCAGTGCTTTCACTGAAGTGTTCACATAATTCTGTTGAAATCCCACAAAGAATTTCCTTAAATTGRAGAATCTGCAGCCCAGGACTTAAGACAACGGGCATTATATAGACATTTTTCTGTATTCCAGTTGCTTTTGTAGTACAAAAAACTCTGACCCTCTCTTTTCCTTTATTATTAATTTATTTGATCAGTATTTGAAGTAAATGCTAATGTTTTAATTTGAACTTACATTTTAGCCATTGAGTTCCCACCATACCAGAGCATATTTACAGGTTCAGAAGTTCACGTGACTTAATTTCTCTTGATACATCTTCTTTGTGTTCCTCAGAGCAGTCTAAAGGAACAAGGACAGATTAATTCAATTTATGTTGAAATAGAAGAGCTGTCAGCTGAATTAAACAGGAAATAGGCATAATTTAATATAGAAATTCTTAAGCATTTTCTGGTTTTAATCACAGTAAGAGACTATCACAAAGTATTGGTGTATGCATAGATGAAATAAAATTATACCTGTGAGCCTCCCTGGTATTACAGTGGATCCAGCCACAGCCAAGTTGTGCTCAGCTGACTGGTCAGGGTTTTCAACTGGTTTTACATGACATTTCTTCAGTGTTCCAGTAAAATTTGAGATGTTTTATTAGCTTCCAGGAAACAGGGTATCTTTTTCTTCCTGAAAAGAAACGCCAGCAATTAAACAGAACTTTAGGTTCATTCACTGTAAGTATATTTTAGCTTCATTTTTTTCATGTAGTTTCTATTGTGACTGTATTCTGCTTCTTCAGAAAGATTGTAAGATGAAATGGGGTAGAAGACTTTTTGTGCCTTTTATCCTATCAGGAAGTTTGACCCTTTAATGAATTGCCTCTTTCTGTGTATTGTACACTCTGAAGAAGCAGGGGAACACTGATTTTTTTGGTTTAAAATTGCAGCAGGATCTTGACAAAATGGGGAGCAGGCTTGTTGATCTCACCAAAAGTGAGATTTCTGCCCTAATTGACATGAGGAGCTGTGTTCTGATATCAACAGATGAAGTTTCTGTGGCAATTAAACTTGAGAAAGCAGAAATAGRAGAGGATTGGTTTGGTATTATGTTAGTGAGGACTTTTAACCAAAGGCACCTTGTGGCTTATGGGTATGGATTTTATGTGTTGGCACATTTCTTAAATGCTGTGGTGTTTTGAAACTCTTAACAAAGGGGAATAATGTGAGKTCAAACTTGACAGAAGTTTCTTAAATAGAATTCCCTCCCCATTGGCCAATCCTTGCAGCCACGTCCAGTTTAATTTGTAATACTGGAAGTTACCAAGCAGAAACACAGAACATTTCAGCATCATTCTTCTTTTCCAAGCATGAAAAGCTATTGATAATGAGACTGAATCCTTGCTGAAGATATTTCTGAGTGAGTTATGGGAAGTGCTGAGTACACTGGCCTCTCCCAAAGTTTTGTATTCAGCTCTGGACACGTGCCAGTAACTGGAGAATATCTTCAGCTCTCCSTAGGTATGCGTTTCCTTTGTGATACCATCAGCATATTTTCCCTAAAATAGCAAGCAATAATTAACACTTGTTCACACCATTAGGAATGCAGATGTTTCCCTATTCAAGTAAGTGGCTTATTAAACTGTCTGATTTGACAAATTTAACACATTATGRTGTCCCTGCCCAAACTTGGAGGAGAGTGAAAAGATGCTGTGAGCTCCCTTCGGTGAGTGGCCTTACAGTCAGTAGTGATCACTTGATTTCAGATCCGAGCAGTGAGAAATAAATGGATTTGTTGGGTACTTACCTGTGGTGGAAGGAGCAGATGAGCCCATGCAGTTTTCTGGGAGTTTTCTCACTGCCCTGCCATGCTGTGACCTTGCCTTGCTGCAATGCCTGGCGTGTGGAATGCAGCAGAGCTGCCTGGATCTCCAGACAGGAGCGTTCTGCTCCCCTGGCAGAGGAGGTCTGGAAAAGGGTCTGAAACCAGTGGTCAGTKCTGCTTTTAAAAGCTGACCACGTTGGGAAGCAAATATCCTCCAGGAGACAGTTGTGCAGTTAGAGGCCGGTTTGGTTTGACCTTTAATCGTTAGGTTTGGGAGTCGGTGACCTATTTAAAACTCTTATTATGAAATGTGCAGCTCCATGGGACAGTGAACTTTGCCCAGGAATTGAATCCCAGTTTTAACCACAACRTTGTGTAATGGTTGTACACACCTTTTAGGAGGTAAGGGTTTTTTTCAGTGGCATTGACTTTTGCTGGAATTAGTAAATAAACTGTTCTGTTGAAGGATCCACCCTATATTATATTTTACAAAGAAAAGGTAATGTTGCATGTCCRTGCTAAGTTTCCTGTGAATGTGGTGTCACAGTGACAAGGTCTGTGCCAGTGTTTTTCCCTGCCAACATCCTAATGCCTGTAAAACATTGCTTCATAAACATTTTTTTAAAGTCTCAGGAGTATTTATATATCTGGAGGGAACAAAGCCTTGTAGACAGTATGTCCAGTTATATTCTTTCATTTTCTACTAATAYTTTATCCTTTTAGAATGCTTTTCAAAAGCAGATCTTGGTTCCTTTATTCTTTCCCAGGCCTGGAGTTTGTCTCTTGAGGATTATCGTTTTTAACAACCAAAACGCTCAACCCCCAAGTTCTTTAACACTTCCTGTAGTTTGACTTTAAGCAAAACCACTGTTTACCTGCTGCCATTTATTCAGCTTGCTGAAATTTTCCAATATAAGTAGGTTTTAAACTTGATCAGACTCTGCACTGCCCCTTTTCTAATCCAGAGCTGTCAGCAAGATCTTTCTGGAACAAACATTTTCCAAGCATCCCTTCTACATTTCCACTGATGGGGTTTTTTTTCTCTAGAGATCTGCAGAGATTCCAGTAAGCAAATACAAGTGATTTACAAATTGACTATTGACTCATTGTATTGGGAAGCTTTCAGCAGGTGGAGAAAGTGTCGCTTCATAAATAAAACATTAATAATGAAATACATTTCACATAAATGCAGCTTTCTAACCATTGTGGTGATAGGGATCATGAGMTACGAGGTTTCCTCAGCAGCAGCAAGTTGTGGGTCTTGATCTTCGGTTATCTGAGCAAGACCAGAGATGGTTTACCCAGACAGAGGGGTTTTCTCAGGGGTTTTTATCATTTCCCAGAAGTGGAGCTCGTTCTTGGGGATTGTGCCCAGAATTCAAACTCTGCCCCTGCCCAGCCTGAGCAGATTCAGTTCAGATCTGTGTTTCATCGGCATTATTCTCCCTGAGTGTTCTGCTCAAGGATTTCTCCCTCTTTAGGGTTGTGTTAATGCTTTGGGAAGTGTAAAGTTTGGTCTGGGGGTGAAAAAATGCTATAAATGCTCCAGTCCTGACACAATGCTTAGGAGGAATTCASTCCTCACCTTCCCTGGTGGTGCCATCCTGTCACCACTTCTGTTGACTTTTGTTGCTTTACACGGCTTCAGCTGTACTTTAAACAGGATCTTGGGTGTGTATTGTGACACTGCAGCATTTTATTTTTTTTTTAATGGAAAATGCCATAATTTAATTTGTTTTTACAATTTTAAGTATGCGTAGGACAAGAATGGATAGTATGATCATACATTGCAAATACTATGGATCGTTTGGAACCTAACATTCAAATCCCGTTTGTTGTGAAATGTCATCTCAAACCAAATTGTTGTTTGGTTTATTTTAGCTGTTTTGTTAGGAGTTTCATTTTATAGTGCAAGAAAAACCTGTGTTGATGCTGCTCTAGAGTCTGTTACATTAGGATGTGCCAGCAAATGAATCAGTGTTGTGGAAACAAGAACCAGACATGTAAGGACTAGTTTTCTGGCTATTTCTTTTCAGGAAATTTTCCTGCTACTTTTGGTTAATTTGTTTCCTAACTCATTATTTTTAGAGCTCTCATACAAATTACACCTATTCAACTGAAAAAAAAAAAACCCAAAAGCCAACCCTATTGCTAACTTGATTTTTCTAGTAGCCTCTGAAGCCCCTGTTTTACCTAAATACTTAACAAATCTTGTGGTTTTACTTGCCTTCCCTGAGAGTAGCCCCAGGCTGCATTCCATGACTCAGATGGGATGCTGAGGATTTCTTGTGTTATTCTTTTTCTTAAATATTATTTCAGAGCTGTGGTTAGTGTAGGTGTATTGGGGAGGAGGGAGAATCTGGGTTTTTGCAGCCAGCTACTACATCTYAATTCCAGAATCAGTGGCTGCAGCAAGGAGGTTCTCGTAAAGCAGGAGATGAACTCTGYAAGCCTGGTTCTGACTTTGCTTGGGTGAACATTTTCCCYGTTCCCAGCTGTGCAAGGTGGCTCAGCATTYGTCCCAGCATGTGTGCGAGGTATTTGATGTGGTCTGAAGACAAAAGGTTGTGTATTAATAAAAGGCCTTCTTATTTGTCTATCTTAAGTCATGCAGTTCAGATTTTAAAGCACAATTAATACAAAAAAGCAACAGAAAAAGACCAAAAGTAACAGCAAAAACCCACCTTAAAGAAAGCCCACTGTGTCTTAGTATAATAACCTATTACTCTTTAGTTGTTGTAGATCCTGATTTTGAAACCCCAGTAAAAAGTTCAAAGAATGTGGAATTAAATTCTTTTTCCATCCCACATGGACAATTAATAACCATACTGAGAAGATTGCTCAAGTATTGCTGGTTATAGTTCAGATTAGCAGGACAGGCATAAAGGCAATATTAAATATTTTACTGCTAGTTTGGCCTAACAAGGCACAAACACTGATCTTTATCCCATTATTGTAATTCACATATTTTCTTAGGAATTAAAACTGTCCTTAGAACACAGGGAGGACTCTTCTAAACAATATGTAACTGTTCYGGTAAAGTAAACCCTGAGCTTTCTGTTATCAATGTGCTTATTCTAGGGCCAGGATCTGGTTTTGGTTTTCATSCCATTTTAAGATCTGATTGCAGAAGCTACTCCAAATGTAAGGCATGTAGTTTAGAAGGGTTTTGAAACAAATGGTTTATATCAGCTATCCACTAAAGATTCATAGTTGTAGTGAGAAACAATGAGGAACAATTTTTTTGGTGGAGTTTTTTGTTCATGAGCCATTCATAAAGCAGGGAACAAAGTGAGATCTATTACTGTATATAAATATCATAATCTCTTTAAAAGAAAACAGAACAAAATTTAGAGGCRTATTTTGTGTTTGTTCTCTCGTGTGTGTATGTGCAGCTAGTGAATTCTTACTAACAATGAAAGCACAATCAAATTTGCATTGATGGGCTGCTTTCATCRTTGGTAGTCAGAGCTGTGTGATCACACAATCACATTCACATCTTGGACCTGCCAAGGAGAGGGTGCTCCAAAAGTCAGCATCAATGAATTTATTTAAGATGCCTTTATGCATCTTTAGGATGCAGTTTAAAGGATCTGCTGTTCTGCTGCAGTTCAGGYATTAGTTAAGATTCTGGTAGGATTGTGGATTCTTTTTTAACTGTTTTCAGAGTGAATCTTTGGAATGTGTCCCCTTTCTTTGTACTACACTGATAGTAAAGGAATGTGAGAGACTGATATCCCAAGAGATGGAGAACCTTGAAGCAGTACCATGACTATTCAAAATAATACATTCTTCTTCTTTAAAATGATTCTGCTGTAAAGRAAGAGGGTGGGGAGAGATAAATTATATATACAACAACTATTTTAAAGGTCTTGTGCTGGTCTGGGTTAAAAAAAAAATATCATTTGCCACTTAAAATCAGAATAAAAGTATTTTGCCCAAAACACTTCAAAGCTCTGAGAGAGAGCCAAGAAACATCCATGGTGGTTGATCAGAGGAATGCCCAGTGGTGTCTGTGTGTATTTTAGTCACCAGGCTGCTGCTGTTCTAAGTCTATCCAGCTCTTAGACTGATGGCCAGAAGTTCAATCCCGTGTTGCACACGCACTGTTGGAGCCAAAGTGCACCTTTCATATGCAAAATGAAAGGGCCTCTGGTTGTGTTGTAAACTTGTGTTACAGGTTCAGCAAAACTGAAGCACTGTGTTTTTGGCTGTCTGCTTTCATATCTTGGCTTGCAGTTTTTAAGGCTGAGACAAAACATGATCTAGCCTTGTATTACTGTGTTTCTTCTGTAGTTCAATGTCTTTTTACACTGCAAGRGAATAAATTTACGAAAGTGGTACAGAGTTAAGTAAGATACAGATGTCTCTGTGGTCCCTGAAGATCCTCACTAACTTGCAAAGTCGTGTGAAATTTAATCATCAYTATCATTCATGTAGGAATTATAGAGAATTGTTTTCACTGAAGAAAAAAAACTGACAGACACATAAATGTAACATGCAGTGGCACTGTGAGTTAAAGAACAAATGTTAYCACATAACACTGATAATTAAAAATGCCAATCAGGTTGTCATTAATGATACATTAACCCTTCTTACAGTTGGATTCTGTGAGGGTGATTGAGAAGCATTTCTTTAAGTGTTACAAAATGTTGAAGTCAAACTAAGAAAACCAGCTGAACTTGTAGTGAGGTTCTGAAGCATGGTTAAAGCTCTTGTTAAATCTGCTCCACTTATACATTACTATTTGACAATTCTCTCCACCTCTAACCCATCCTCTAACACTGTTTTCCTGTTTCAGGAGTTTTATGAACACACAAAAACGCTCTGGCAAGATGAAGGTGTGAAAGCCTGCTAYGAGAGATCCAACGAGTACCAGCTGATTGACTGTGCACAGTAGTGAGTATTGCTCCATTCCACTGCTCATGGWTTTGTGACTCAGGGACAGTGCTTTGGTGTCCTCATGCTTGTTTTCCCTTATCCTTGGAAAAGGAATGTGTGGTACATAATGAATCCTCGGGAATCAGCTGTTCAGAGAGGTGGGACAAACTGGTGTCCAGTTACACAATGTTGAGAACGTTGCAGATGCATTTAAATGGTGTTAATGCAGGCTGAACCCTTAGAGAGGGGACAGTTTTATTGTCTCAAAGGACAAATTTCCGGCCTCTTCTGCTTGGATGTGTCCTTTCCCCATCAGCTTCAGGTGCTGCAGCAAGTTTCAGTAACATGGAGAGAATGTTTGTGGGAAAGAAGCTCCCTTGTCACTTTGGTTTCTAGTGCAGTTTATTTCACTGGAAACAAAGAGATGGGAGCAGCAATCATGGGAAGCAGCCTGTGATCAGTCCCAGACTTCTGCTTGTGTGCCTTCATGCACAGATCTGACAAAGTCATTCTCTTCTGGTATTTCTACTGCTGTGATAATTAGTTTTGTCTTGAGAGACTGCTGCATGTTTRCAGTTATTTATCACATCCAGCCATATACTGGGGTTCAGGATTTTTTTATGGCAAGGTGTTTGAGTTAATTGTGACCATTCCAGACACTTCGTTGTGCATACTCAATGGATTGCAGGAYTTAACTATTCTTTGTTGGTTTACATTCTCTCTATTTCTTTTSGAGAAGCTGAAGTAAGGTTTAATGGTCAAGAAAAGGAAGGTTTCTCATTTCACACGATTATGGCAACTGCAGTTTGTCTGATACTGCATCTCTTAAAGAATATATGATGAAATAAAGTCTGTAAGGGTCTTCTTTTGTTTGTTTGTTTAGGTAGACTTAAAGGTAAATCAACAATTAGTTCTGTTTGAAAAGAGACAAGAGAGATAATTTTACTATGCCTTGCACAGCTCCAGGACTGTAGGAGYCTCTTTGAAGTTTTGCCATTGTTTCCAGAGTGAATTTGTTTGATGTGTAACGATGTCTTTTGCATTAGGTGACTAATGTTTGATCATCTGGCATGGAGCTTTTTGCAGCTTCAGTTGCTACAAAATAGAAGAGTACTAGGATTTTCATTTTCAGTCAAGCATCCAGTAAATTTCGTGTTTCTAGTGTAAAGCTGATAGAAATGAGGAAAAGGTGGGTTTGTTTCTGGTTAGTGTTTGTTAAAAGTCAGCCTCTGTGCCGGGAAGAAGGAAATATTGTTGAGCACTAAGAGTGTTTTGTGTTGCCCTTTTTCTGCCCTGAATGCACAAAAGAAAGCTGAAATCCTTATCATCCCTGGACATTGACTTTTCCATGGATCAGCAGGGGAGGTGGCCCTCATGATGGCTTTACCGTCCTGCTCCATCTAGTGGAACACTTAATTCTACATCATGGGCTGTTGAGCCAAAAATAAACCTTGAACATTGCTGACAAATTAGATTTCTCTTTTTTGCTAAAGAAAATAAAATTAAAATTGCTGTGTCCTTSTAAAAATATTTCATAATTCTAATATTTATTCAATATGATCGTAAAGTATATGATGCTATAGTCTTGCAGAAGAAGTTTCCTGATTGTTAATTTGGATAGTTCTTGTCCTTTCTGGCATTTTTGACCATACAATGGTGTTGTTTTTAATAACAGAATATGCATAGTAGGAGTTTTTTAATGGCAAAGTATTTGCTTGGAGGTTAATGTCACTTTGAAATGCTGAACTTGCTTTTATCACATTTAATTTTCAAGGGATGTAGCAAAAATTGCTTCTTGTAAAGTCTGACTTGATTGACACCTTCAAATTAACCTGGTGAGCACATGCTAACAAAAATCCGGCAAAACAAAATACAAAATGTATCTGAGTTTTATTAAAGGAGGGCTATTTTAATATGAGTGTGCAAATTACTGTTAGTGCTAATAGAAGCTAAAAGAGAATATCGAGCAAACTCTGTTGGGATTGCCAGTTCTTTCAAAGAGGAGTTTTGGGTTCTGAACACGTATCCCTTTTGAAGTCGCCATTTAAAACAAGAAAGTCGTGCTGGATATGGGAGATGGAAACATGGCTTTTCTCTTTCAAGATAATCTGGCTTCCAAAAATCCTTTCTTGCTCTTGAAAGTTGAATAAATTGTTAATTATTAATGGAATCTTTGCTCAGTGAATTGTCCTAAAATTTTAAACAGTGTTTGTTGTTCACAAAAATTAACTTCTTAGAGTTGTTTGTAAGATAATTTTATGGTTTTCAACTGTCATTTTTTGAAGAGTGGATTGCTTAGCGTAAAGTTTGTCTTGGTATGGGCTTATTTAACATTCTGAATTTTTTAASAAAGGAGGTTTTTTCACTGTTGTGACCCAGTTCTATATAGGAAACTTTGCAAGGATATTCTGCTGAATGTTTAAAAATCAGTTTTGCCTGTCTTTTAGCAAGGCTGCTTTCTGTGGATAAAAGCTGATTCGTCGTAGACAGCTTAGCTGCAGTCCAGGAGAAAGAAGGGCTTTCCAAGATTCAGGATTGGGGAATCTGTAAAATAAAGGTTTTGGGGAGGTGGCAGCTTAAAATTCTGCAGAGCTTGTGCTGAGGAAAGGAGAGAATTAGCTGATGGGTCAGGAGCTCTCCTGGGTGGACAGAGCATGAGGGAAAAATCACTTTTTGCTGTGTGTTCATTCTCAAGAAAGTGGGAATAAATGTAATTCTTAATGTTTTATCACCCTAATTCCAATGAAGGCGTTTAGAGTCTGGAAACGGTATTTTTCAGTATTCTGGAGCAGTAACTTTAAATGTACAATGCTTCCTGCTGAAGCTCTACAATTTCCAGTCTCTTCCCATAACAAGTCACATTCATATATGTTCTTATTGTTGCTCCACCGAGTCTCTGGCTGTGCTGGCTCAGAAAAGACAACTTCACCACAAGCCACAGGTACTGTCCTGGCTTCCCATTTCTGTGCAGTTGTGATCTTTGGAGGTGTGAAGCTGGGAGGCCTGGCCAGTAACCTCATCTGCTGGAGAGCCCTTCTGGTATCCTGGCCTGCATCCTCAGCTCACTGGCTAAATGAAAATGTCACTTGGGAGGAACCCTGTTCATTTTGAAAGAGTAGCTGCCTCTGCTCGTCAGGAGCTTTACTGTACTTCCTGCCGAGGCATATTTGACAGTCCTGAGAGGCAGAGAAAGGAAAGAAGGCTTGTTTCCCTTTTCTGAACTGGCTTTATGAAGAATTTAGTTTCAATTCTGCATTTAGAACACCACGGTCTGTGATGTTGTTTCACTCTGTGTTTCAGCAGTGAGGAGGGAGAATTGTCTGTGAGGAGACTGAATTTCYCTGCTCTGGCATCTTGCAGGGATGCACCCAGAGCGTTCATACGAAGTTTATTATGAGATCTTGGCTCATAATAAACAGAATAACACTGAAGTGTCTAGAATACAGAAAATCCCAAATGGTGTTAAATTATTTACCATCCTTCACATGTCTTCCCTGAAGGCACATGATGGCATTTTATTTAGAATCTATTACTTAATATTAAAAATACAGGAGCCATTTCCAGTGTGCTGTGCCAAAACCTGTTYGTCAAATCTGCCTTCTGTCAAACACAAACAAAACACGATCTCTTTGAAGCGCTGCTGCTGCCAATACCTCTACTTCAGGTTTCATGTGAGTAGCTCTGGTTTTACAGACCCACAAATGCCCAGCAGAGCAGTCAGAGCAAGCAGGATCCTCTGTTAGGAATGTGCTGTTTGTCGCGTGAGGATATGAACGGTGCCCACCCTGTCCTGGGGATGGCCAGGAGAAAGCTTGGGGATGACCTGGAGAAACACGATTTGATGTCAGGAGCCTTTGAGTTACCTCTTCATCWAATCAAAAGCAAAGCCTTGGTACTACATGAGCCTTCTGGTGCTTTTTCTAGAGTTGCTAATATTAGGTTGTGTCCACAGATCCCTGGATTTTTCTYTATTAACCTCAGCCACTCATTGGATTCTGTGCCTCATTTCACGCCGCRCTTTCCCTGCGGATCTCCTCGCTGGCGCTTCCTGGTTTTTGGCCGGGGTGGAAAAGGAAATCGAGCGAGGGCCGGTGTTTGCAGCGCGTTTCACACCCGCGATGTCAGGAAGGGCTGGAGCAGCACGAGGAGCGCGTTCTCACGCGATTTCCTGCCGCCCGCTCCTCCTGCGCTGCCATTTCGGGCAAGGAGGAGCCTCTGGAGGTGCACCGTCACGTTTCTGCAACTCCAGAGCCTCTYTGGTACCTTGAAAGTCTGCCAGGCTCCTCCAGAAGGGTTTTATGAGGAGGATTTTTTAAGATGTTTGTTTTTAAAATACTTATCAAAGAAAGGCAGGGAGTGCAGCTATTAGCCGACTGCTGTGCGGGGCTGCTGAAGGATCAGCGTGTGTGGACACACGGGTTTTTTAATTTCTAATGTTGTAAACTCTTTATTTTTTTTACTAAGATTTATGGTGTGTTTTATTTCTGGATTTGCAGACTTGTAGAGAGAGCAATTARGAGCCCCGATCTGAGCACTTAATGATTTTCTTCCATGTTGATTTCTCTTGGTGACAAAAGTTCCCTTCATGGAAYGTGTAGTAAAGTATGTTTGCTCAAAGTCTCACCTTTTTAAACAGTGCCTGATTTATCAGGGCTACTACTGTTAGTCTGGTTTCTTATCCGTATTATTTATTACGTGTTTTTTTTTTTTTTCCTTCTACTTTTCTTTCCATTCGATGTGATTTTGACAGAGTGGTTTCTCGTGTCTCCAGCTCCTCTGTGTGCTCACATTGAACAGCACAGGAATTTCCCTGGCCTGTGTTCCTGGCATACATGAGCCTCTTACGGACAGTAACAATTATATTGTTAAACATTCCCATGAGGAGGAATATTCATGTCCCCTTTWGCTGGGCTAAAACTGATGATGCCTGCTGCTGTGGGAATTCCTTRGCAAGCCAAGGAATAGACCTGGATCATCCAACTTCTGATTTTTGGTCTTGATTATAAAACCCRCCTTAT